AACGTGCCCCAATCTCTGCTCCGTTTTTTTTTTTTTTTTTTTTTTTTTTGGTTTTGTTTTGTTTTGCATGCAATGCGTACGGTTCATTCCCACCACCTCACTGAGGACCGGTGCCCAGGGGCAGCGGCGCGGCCCCACGCGGACCTCCCCGGCCATGTAAGTGACCGCCCGAGCCGGGGCCGCTGCTCCGCGCTGCGGGGGAGGGGGGTTGGGAACGGACTGGGACGGGACAGACGTGACGGAACGGGACGGTGCAGCGGCGGCCAGGGAGAGGCGGGCACGGCGGCCCTCGCCTTCCCGGGCAGAGAGCAAGCGGCGGAAACTCGGCGCGACTGTGAAACGTGTTGGATGCATCGTTTATTCGTACAGGTTTTAAGGTCTACCAAATTAATCAAAGAGGCAATCGAGCTGAAAGGCTGCCCCGTGGTATTGGGAACGGGCTGGGGACTTATCCTGCTTCTTAAAAAGATGCTGTTAGAAATGATTAGAACTGACAGCTCGCTGTACTCTAGTAAAAACAAACGGTTCAGGGAACCAGCGGCCGTCCCACCCGGCCTGTACCGGCCCGGCCTGTCCCAACAGCGGCCCAGCAGCTCCGCCCGGGACACCCCCCGCCGCACGGCCACTCCGTCGGGCCGATTCCGAGGGACGCAGAGCAAACCCTCCCCCAGGGCAGAACCCTTCCGTCTCTGCGAGCGCTCCCGGCGTGGAGTGCCCCGTTACGCACCGTGCGCGACGCGGAGCTGCGCTTATCCCTCTCCGGAACAGCGCGCTCTGCGTCGTTTTTAATCCTTTCTTGTGCGGCGTAGAGAGAAACGGGACGGGGCAGGGAAGGGAGAGCTGCTGTTACAACTTAGGGAAAGGGGCCGCAGCCTGCGCTCCCTCCGCCACGCCCGCAAACTTTTCTTTCCGTCCCGGCGTAAGTTCCAGCCCCGTTCAGTGGCGCTGATGACAGAGCGGCCGCACTCTCCCTGCGAGCGGATCCCGCACGGCAATCTGCTCCGCTCCCCCACGGCCGGACCCTTCACCCGGCGGGCTGAGGCTCAGCCGCTGCTGCCGCAAACCAAGAGGCTTTTATTCAACACTCACCGGGTACCGCGCAGAGCACCGCGCCCGGAGCGAGCCCCCGAACCGCGTCCCGTGTCCCCTCAGTCCCCCCAGAACCACCCGGAGCTCAGCGCTGTCCCTGCGGGGCCGAGGACGCCCAAAAGACACCGAGCCCTCCACTTCCCGCTGCGTCCTTAGGCTTCTCCCGGCACCTTAGAGAGGATTTCCGCTCCCTCCGAGGTAATGACGACGGTGTGCTCGAACTGCGCTGATCTGCAACGCACAGGGAGCAGTTAGCGGGGGGCAGTGCGGCCCCAGCACGCCCGTAAGACTCACCGGCTGCCAGCGCTCAGCTCCGCCGCTCGGGAAACAACAAAACCGGGCACCTTTTATTGTCTACCGAAATTGCGGTCCATTTGTCCTTCAGAATCTTAAATTCGGGAGAACCCTCCATTATTATTGGCTCTGGAATAAGAAAAAAACGCCCGAAGTGAGCGGCGCTGCTGTGGGCAGGGGGGGCCCGGCGGCAGCTCCCACCCTTGCTTCGCACCGCGCTGCCCCGCCGGGGCCGCACCGGGGGGGGGAGGACGCAGCGCAGCGCTGCGGTGCGGGGAAGGTGCGCTCCGCTTTCGTAACAGCAGGGAAATTTATTCCAGCTTTCATTAAGACTCCGTGGTAACAATCAGAACAACAAACGCGGACAGTTCAACATATCCGATTTTTTTTTTTTTTTTTTTTTTTTTTTTGTTAAACAGACTTAAAATGTTCAATTAAATCAGCAAAACAACGATTTTCTGATTCGGCTAACTGCCGCGTCGGGAGGAATGGGCTTCCACCCCTGCACCGGCACTCGCGTTGTGGGGCGGCTCTCATGAACTCCGCGCGGCCGGCCCGGCCCGGCGCAGCTCTGGCGGCAGCGGGCAGCGGGGCACAGCCGCGCTCTGGAGTCTGCACACCGCCACAGCTGCACTGCCAAAACGACGCGTCAGGTCTGCCGCTTGATAAGATTTGCGATCAGATTTTTCCTTCCCAAATTCGTGTCACTCAGGAGCTGTGTCGCCCAACTGATCCCTCAGTGCATTTTTTAGAATAACATTTGAATCTCTTTCCCAGGGGCCAGTGTCACTGCTGTCACCGTTTCTGAAGGGACGCTTCTCTGCTCAAAGAAACGGCACGGAGCTGGGCTGTTGTGTGTGTGCTTTTTTAAAGACAAACATAGAATACATTTACTAACCTATTGTGAACGCCATTCCCTCCTCCATTAACAAATCACTGTCATTGGCTAGAAAAGAAAATAAAAATGCTTTTATAGTTGTTGTCTAGTTTCACTTTTTTTTTTTTTTTTTTTTTTTCTTTTTTTTTTTTGGTAACAGCACCCAGCATTGGGTTTCAGAACTCGTTCTGGCTCACAGGTGCTGTGCATGCCGGCCCCTGTGCAAGTCCGGATCCAAGCACCCGTTCTCATTGTCCCCGCTGCCCATCCCACCACCCTACAGCTCCGCTGGGGCTTTCCCACTCCCGCCTCCCCAGCCTCAGACCCAACGGCTCCTCAGATCCTGGGGCACGTCTGGAAGGATCGCCCGCAGAGATTCCCCCGCGGGTTTGGGGCTGCCACACCGCTTCGGATCGCACTTCTGCCGCAGGTGAAGTGGGAGGAGACGGTGCTCTGGTCGGGAGCCGCTTACCGTGGTGCCACACCTCGGGGTGCCCGTGGAAGTAGGACCCGATGCCGTGGCCGACAAAGAAGGGGCACACCTGGAAGCCGCCCTGCTGTGCCACAGAGCTGCAGGGCAAAGAGGACACAGTTAGCAAGCATGGCCCGACCCTGCCACACATCCGTACCATCAGCAGCACCCAGTGCGGGGCTGCTGCCAGCTCTGAAAGAAAACAGCCATCATGTAACCATCATTAGGTTTCAGAGTGAATGGGCCAGCCAGGGCAGAGCACAGAACAGTGCAGCCCTTACTGCCTGCAGTGCCCCGCTGCATGCACCCGCGGCCTGTGCCAATACGGAGGGAAACACCAAGCTGTTCCCTTCTGAAATACTACAAACATCCAGTGCCAAAATGTACTGCAACTCCAGAAAATCCGTTCATGCTATAATGAACAATGTATTTCTACTGAACCCATCAGCACAGTCCCCAAACCAAATCATCATAATTATGGCACTTCAGTTCTGCTGGGAAGATCTGTCCGGTCCTTCACAGCCTCTCCAAAAGAGCATCTTCCAGAGAGACAGATGTCCTGTCTGCAGGAACAGAGCCTGTCTCCAGGCCTCTTCCATGTCAGGAAAGCAAAATCCCATCCCGGTGCCCAAAGCTGGGGACCCAGAGGACTGGGAGTACCTGCCGGGCTCTGCCAGCGGGCCACTCCACAGCACCAACCAGGGCAGCTCAGCCAGCAGAGCCAGCCCCATCCCAAATGGAAATCTGGGGCACCTGAGGTGAAGTGCAAGTGACAGGGGAACTGCTCCTGAGTATCAACCCCACACTGTGCCCAGAGTAAACAGGAGCATGGAAGCGGGACAGGAAGCAGTCTGTCTGAAAAGATTTTGTCTATGAACCTAAAAGCTTCATTTGTTCACTTAAGATCACGGTGGGCCCTTCACACTTCAGGTTTGCTTGTATTGACAGCTGAACAAATGTGCCTGCTGCCTCAATACAGAGAGCCATCACATTTCTATTTGGAGAAGACTGAAAACTTCATGTTTAGCTGTCCCCAAATTCCTAATTTCTGGCAAAGAGGAATATTAATATAGCTAGAAATTGGGCTTCAATTTTCAAACTCAAGGTCCACAGCTTGATGTTACATACAGTTTATGTGGAAAAAAAACCCACTACGGTTTATGCAGCAAGAGGTCCCAGCAGTGAGGGAAGTCCATGCTCCCCACCATGCCAGCCAGCCTGGGTCACGGCTGGGGCTGGCTGTGACACTGCTGAAGGCCAAAGAAGATCAGAGAGGAATCACAAAGTCAAATTACTCAGAAACATACACAAAACGAAATGGAAGGTCTCCGGTGACCCAGCCTACAGCAATGCAGATAATGGTTCCCAGACGGGGGAAGCGATTCCCTGAAGAGAAATGGGAGGCCTGACATGCACCACATGGTGAGCTGTCCCTTCTCCTTCACAGGGCTGTGAGAGAGCAAATGACCCCACCAGCTGCTTTGAGGCTGTGCCCCATGCCCAGCTGAGCAAGAGCACCTGGGGCACTGGTGTGACAGTGTTCCCTCCTCTTGCCCTGAAAGAAGTGGTTCTTGTGCATGGCAGTGGTGAATTCTGCCACTTCCTTGCCCAAGAGATCAAAAACATCAGCACTTAGGTGGTTGGGACCAAAACAGGGGATGCTGGAACCAAGACAGGAGATGTGGAGCTCACGAGCTGTGACACCCACACTGACAGGTGCCTGCGCTCCCCTGCCTTCCCACTGGAACTTGTCTACAAGCTGACTTGGTGTTCTTTTCCTAAAAAATGCAGCATGACCAATGAAGTTGTCGTGACATGCAGAAAATCTGAGAAGAAAATAAGCTGCAGGTACACAGCTTGGACACATTCAGTCTGGTTTTAACATCGTGCTTCAGAAGCACTGTATGGGGAATTTCAAAGCACTCCGCAACTACTGGCTTCACTTCAGAGTACTGAGAAAACCCAGTGAGCTGTCACACCCACAAGGGCACTGTGAAAACCCTGCTCCCATCACGAAGGTAGCCGCCAGCCCTGCTGCAGCCTGCTAGGGCCATTCTGCCTGCACCAGTGTGCTGCTTGCACAGGAAGTGCTGGGTGAGCTGCTGGCCTCGGCCATGCCTCTGCCCACCAGCATCCAGGGCTGCAGGACCTGGCTAAGAAACCTGGATAGCACAAAACGGGGCATCCTGCCCACCTTTGCCATTTCAGTGTTTTGGCCTGGCTGCCTCACTCAGGATCTGCCAGCAACGGCCTTTCTCTCCAGCTCTCCCTGGAGGGCAGCCCCAGAGGATTACAGGCTCCGCTATGTGTAGACACCTGGAGTGGCTCCGGCTGCAGATGGTACAGAAGGGCGGGAGAGAGGCAGGGCTGCAGGGAAGGAGAGCAGCAGAGTGGGGTTGAGGGACAGGGCTGCCTTCACTCAGATGGGGCATGGCCCAGTCCCACTGGCACCCACAGACAACACAGACATGCTGCGTTGGCAGCACAAAAAAAACATAGGGATTCTTTACCACAACCGTTGTTAAAAATATCCATTGATAACATTCACCATTACGCATTTTATTCTTGGAGCCACGTAGCACGCTTGGGCAGAGGTGAATTGGTCAGGATTAAAAGCATAATCATTTAATGAGCCCAGTACTTGATTTCATGTTTTGCTGCTGAGCGATACAGCCCAGCGGCTGCAGTTGAGTACCTGCAGGGCTGCTCCTCTGCAGCAGGTGGCAAAGTGCCCACGCCGGGATGGAACAGCAGCAGCCGAGCTGTCAGTGAGTGCAGCTCGTGGACACAGCCCCCGTGTGCTGCCATCATGCTCCTGAGGGGATGGCAGAGCTGGGCGCTAGCTCCTTCTCTACCAGATGGCATCTATCTAACCCCTGCCAGAGGAGGGATGAGTGTGGAGAAGTGCTGCAGCCCAACAAACTGCAACAGTGCAGCAACAGGCAGAGCTGCATTTTTGCGAGCTCTCCCCAGTGCTCTGCCCCTCCCTAGAAGGAGTTTTTGTGTGTATGGGACAAATCTCTCCACCTGAGAGGCTGAAAAGCAAGTTGACAGGACTTCCTCATAGGGCTGGTCCTGAGCCTCCCACAGAGCCCCAGTGAGCATCCAGGAGTAAATAGGTGTCCCAGCTCCAGAGTGAACACTCTCTCAGGACCGGGACTCCCATTCTGGGACCAAAACTTCCCAAACCTACGCTGCCTTTTCTTTATACTGAATTCTGTTGTTTTTTCCTCAAGCTAGGTCTGGTCTGGTACAATAAGCCCTCACTAAGGAAACAAAACAAACCAAACCCTGCTTTGAGCCTGGCCAACATCCCACACTGCAACCTGGGCTGAGCACCGCAGGGAACCCATTCCCAGCTATGGGCACTTCCCCCAGCGCCTGCACCTCTCCCCAGAGCCAGAACTTCACCACCTACAGCCTCGCAGAGCAGCATGGCCAGCCCTACGCACCGAGTGGCCTGTCCCACAGCAGGGCGCAGTGAGCCCACCTGGGAGACACCAGGAGATAACCGATCCATGGGCACTGCTTTCTTATTTAGGGACACGCATGCATGCATCTTTTTTGAAGTTAAAAGTAATCAGGCTTTTCTTAATGCCCACCAGTGGGCATGTTTACTTTTTCTTTTCTTTTTTAATTCTTGAAATCAGTATCAGCCTAAATTAGATTTGCATGTGGTAAAAAAGTATTTACTTTCAATAGAACCATATTAACTAATTTGAGAAAATAACAAATTTTGACTGGGAAAATATTACAGTATTTTTCACTTAAATAGTAATCCTAGACTGAGGGAATGCACAAGTTCAGGGATTCCCCATAATGACAATAAATGTTGAGGTATAATTAGTAATATTTTTGAAAGCCAACAATTGTTTCTTGAAAGAAAGGTACATTTTAGTTTCAAACTGGAACACAAATTACTGTATTTTTCTTACAATAGTGTTGAACTTTTATTTGAGGTTCTCTGTTTCTAAAAGCAGACATGATGGATTGAAATAAAAGATAATTTATTGCAATGCTTACTTTCAAGTGCAGAGAGAAGCAGTGTAATTGTAATTTACTGTAGCTGTCAAGGAAAATCTATCACAGATGACATTAAAATGACTTATTTTGCCTGAGCCACTTATTGTTTAAATGTGCATAATCTGATAGAAACAGATTTTTAAAAATCTGCTTTATATTGTTCTAAATTAATATCAAAACATATACTTAGGAGTTAAGCATTTTAAACCATTTATTAATACTTTCCTCACTTCTATTTTTTCCTAGGAGTTGAAAATTGGTTCATTTAACAATACCACATTTGTGTTTTCCAGCTCTATACACCCACAACAGTTCCACATATCTAAGCTCAGTGGCTAAAAAGTAGATTTCAAACCAGGTTTGTTTCTGTCTGAAAGAGAAATGCCACCAGCAGTAGAAGGAAATGGGAATACAGGGCCCAATTCTTTTCCCACTGGGGCCAATTTTGCCACCATCTTCAATAGGAACATGTTAGCAAAGATTCCTATTCTTCCTGGCAGAGTAACTCCTGAATCCGCAAAATCTTGCTTTTGCAACTCCTAGGCGATGTGACACAGAACTGCTGCCCATGAAACAATGTTTCAGCTACTGAGCTTCCGCAACAAAAAATATGTTATGATGCAAGCTTATTTCTGTAATACAATTATTCCTAAATCATTTATAGGAAGCAAATATTCTGATTTTTGGTGCCTAAGATGCATTCTTGGGCACTTTTATAGAAAATATGGATGAAAGATACGTAGACACATCTCCATTCCAATGGGCCTAAACCTTCTCAGTTGTTTACAATCTCCAAAGTCTCCCAAAACAGAAGAATTCGATAGATGGATGCAAACGCAGAAAGCTAAGCAACCAGAAATACACAGCTTCAGCCAATCTCTTTCAGCAGAGGCACTGTTAAAGGGGTTCTGAACAAACTGGGATATTTAAACCATCTACATAGTAAAATCTTGAATAATAAAGTTAACGATCTACTATTCTATATGTAGGATTGGACATCTACTAGCTTTGATTCATCCGCATTTAGAGGGAGCACTGCCGATGTATTTACACTCTGCAAGTAAACTGACCCTCCGTAACAGCACAGTAAAAATTCAATGTCACATTCAATTTTTTTTTTTTTTTTAAATACAGCTAGAATTAATGTAGTGAATCTGTAATGAAATGCATTATCCTGCATGGAGATTTATCAGATTTTCCAATTGAATGCCATGCTTTGCTCGCACTAGCTGGAGTTCACCTGCATGTTGGTGTGGCGTGTGGCTCCTTTTTGTAAAGAGTTAAGTTGAACACAAAAAAAGGGAACAAAGGTCAGCACCCAGCCGCCACTTGAATGTGAGATTTTTCTTTTTATTCCCCTTGATGTATACTAGGCTCTGTGTTATTAGTCTTAATGATGGAAAATTGTAGTGTTGATACAAATCTTTTTTTCAAAGTAGTAGGCGGGAGCTCCATTTGTTAGTAAGTTTTTTTGTGACTAAAAGCCATGGACAGTACATTTATGTAGCAGTAAAAGGCCTAGATGCTCTTTCCATAGCAGAGCTAATTATTCCTACTGTGACCTTACTGATCTACCCTGTTCCTAGTACATCTCATCTGCACGCCTGTTCCTCTGTGTAGATGGTGTCAGAGAATATGAAAAACCCTATAATGAAACCATTTTCATGATGGAGAAAGGCTACTGGAGTTGCACTTGCTACAAAGAGGCTCAATTATATGAGTAATTGTGATAATTTTCTACATTCATAGCCTTCAATGGGGAAAAAAGAATGAGAGCCACAAAGGAAAATTACTTTAACAAGAAAGTACAGAGAGTAAAAATGGAAGAAGAGACAAAAAGGGGGAAAAAATAACCAGAAAAAAAGTTTAAAAAATAGATCTGGAGGGAGGAATAGCAAGACAGGGAGAACAACAGAAATGCTCAAAAAGCCTATGTGCAGCTGTGTTGCACAATTAAATTGAATTTTTTTTTCTGCAGTTGATGAATGTGACTACTGCAAATGTGCCTCTGTAGTTAGCTATCATTTGTTGTTCCGTGACAGGAAAAGGATAATTACCTCTCAGAGAGAATCAAAGGCTGACATGCCCTTTAGACACAGCCATGAATGCAGAGCTCGATAGAATGCTTGAATAAGAATCTAGTGTTCTGTGCCCCCTTCTACTCAAGAATAAATTTTGTTAAAATGCAAGAGCACCACCAGTAAATTTGTTGAACCCTAGGTGTTCAAAAATATGAGGTGCATCTATCGACTCATCCCATTTGCAAAAATAAAACTACATTTTGAATTCACTTCTATTATATTCATGGACAGTAAGATAGTGAGATATGCATTAAATTTCTTTTCCCAGTAGGGGTCTGATTCAACATTTCCTATGAAAGAACAGAAAGACACTATCCTTTTTCTCCAGGCTAGTTAGCCTATAATTTAAAACTGTCAAAAACACAATTTTATACAAAGTCTTCAATAAAAGCTTCTCAGATATAACCCAAAGAGGTTTTACTAAAGTTTGATTCAGACTCTGTTACAATATTTTTAAAGCTATAAACACATCTGACTGATATTTTGCCGTTTGCTTTTTTCCTTAAAGTATCTGAAGATTTACAAAGAAAAAAAGCAGCATCCTTTCAAGGTGACTAAGCCTTACAGCTTTTAAGTAATCGCAACGTTATTCAATAGTATGCTGGGACCATTAACAGTCCAATGAAGTACTGCTTAATGAAGTGTTTACAATATATGTCTTTTTAATTTTAATTTTTTTTTTTTTTGCAAACATTTTTAAATGTTCCATAGGCACCTAAAAAAAATTAAGCACAATTTTATTCCAAACTGCCAGAAGAGCCATGAGTGATGGCTACAACAGATGCAAAACAGGGAAAAACCTCTTAATGTGAGCTCTTTCTTCCCCATGACGTTAGTACGCACTGCTCTTTATAAGGTAAGAAGCTCTCGAGTTAAATATTTTTGTATTTTTTAAACAAAGAGACTTATGTTGATTAACTCCTTTTTAAGATTCGTTATTGCTATACAATGAAAACAATGGCTTTTAACTTTCTTACATCATTAGACAGACAAAGTATAGTTTCGCAAACAAATTAAAAAACAAAACAAAACAAAACCCACCACAGATTACATCTGTTAATATAAGTCTACCTTATGAATATCTTTGATTCTTTCCACAGTTATCTTTGCTAAGCCTGGTGTAACTCACTTAAAAAAATCCCTCTTACCCAAGGAACAACATTATAGCTTGGCAGTTCACATACTGATATCAGACTGAAGTGATGGTTTTGAATCATAAAACATGTCATCAGCTTTATACCAAACCTCCAATAACCTCTGTCCCACTTGCCAGCCCTCCCTTTACTTGTCAATATAAGGCTTACCTGATTGTGTTTCCAATTACAGAGAAGGGAGCCCCTGGTCTGCAAGCTGCAATTGCTTCATCTCTACATTTCCTGGCAACCTCCACTAACTTTTGACCAGATTTGTCCACACTGCCCACCAAAAAGGTTTCAGAAGTGTCACCATGGTAGCCATTGTAATACACCTAAACACATGCAGAAATGTAAAGACAGTTTCTTGTTTTGCATCCAGAAACAGATCATCTAAACTAAATCCATTCTTTCTAGGAATGAGCTATATATTGTAACAGATAGGTCACTGGTAGGCTGCACATGAGAGAATGAGACTGGAAAAGCAAAACACCGGAGGGAGGGAAAAAAAAAAAAAAAAAAAAAAGCATGGAAGACTGCAAGGTGTATAAGGGTTGCCAATTAAAAACTCCACTAAATGCAGAAGTTTTGTCTGGCCACCCAGCAGAGCACAGGAGGAGACATGGGTGACGCTGCTCAGACGGGACAGAAGCATGCCAGAAGCTACGAGGGGGCCATGCGCACACTCAGTGCTAAGGGGGTCCCTGGGCTGGGATGGGGAGAGCTGCCAGCCCATCAGCAGGGGTTGGGAGAACGATCCTTTCACAGGGAACGTCCCCATGGCAGCATGGTTGGATTCTGCTCAGGCAGAAGGCACGGCGACCTGTTGTACTAATGACCTACTGGCTTTCTGTTTGTCATTTCATAGGCTCAAAGCCTCAGCTCTCCTGAAGTTCCCTCTTGGGCAGAGCTCTGCAGCACCATGTGGAAAGGGTTTTTGCAGCTCTGCAGTACCGCAGGAGGGACACAACTGTGGGAGCAAGCCAAATTTCCCTATCAAAAGACAAATTGCAATGGGGCACAGTTTTGATCTTCTAAAACATTTTTTTCCACAAACAGTGGGCAACTATCCTCCTGGGACTAATGACTCACCAAGTCTGAAGCACTGAACTTTTGCCACTCGCAAGCTATTTGTGAAAGACACAGACTCGCATTCCTTTTGGTCAATTGCAAATGGAAAAAAAATAAATTGGCTACAGACGGTTTATCTCAGGGCCAGGTTTGTGTTGGGGGGGAGATGTAAAGAAAATGCAGGCAGCTGCGGGTGCACAGCACTGCACAGGACAGTGAATGGCAGCGAGGATCCAACTTTGCAGTCCTCCCGGCTCACACCTCCCTCTGCCAGCTGGAGCTGCGGCTAGATCTGCTTTTACAATTTAATGCCTGCTGGAGAGGTTTCACTCCAGCTAGTTCATATGTAAGCCAAATGAGTTCAGTTGTAGCTCTAGCAAGTACGGCACTTAAAAGCCAAACAAAAACATTACACTTCATCATCCTGGAGAAATGAGTACAGATTTAAAACACAGCAGAGCTTAAAAATAATTGCATTTACTGCTGGCCATCAACTGCAATTATGTATTTTTAACATTAATAAACTACAACCTCAGCAACTGTAACACACTAATTCCTTAAAAGTCAATGAAAGATTTGACTTGCAAGAAGCTTTACCTGCCAATAGCTGGCTGGAAATTGTGCAATGCTGACAGATCACTGATGCATAATGCTTCTCTTTCTACACTTAAATACATTCTAAAGGCCACACGATGAAGCCAATAAAATTTGTATTTCACCTATGAAATTCTACCATCTGAATTGCACAAAAATAGATTTTTTCTTCAAACAATTTGTATGTCGTTCAAAGTGTTTATAGTTAATAACCAGAATATTATTTAATCATTTTATAGAACCTGTATGCAATTATAAACAATTTGTTGTGGCATATTTACTTTGATTTTTACACCGTTCCCCTGTGAAACATCCCAATTCTGCTCATTAAAAATGAATTAAAAAATCAATTAGCAATGCTGCAAAGTAATATTTCTTCCTTAAATTGTTTGAAACTGAACTGTTCTCAAACACAGCATAGTTTAGTTTCATACAATATAAAATGTTTTCAAAGACAATTAGCAATTCCTACCCTTGCAGGAATTTTCACATTCACGGGAACTTTGAGATTTATTTTGTTTTTTGAGGGTAAACAGAACACAGTAAGAATATATTTTCCAAAAGACCACTAATATTTGGTTGTACATCTTTTTGTAAAGCGGGGTGGAAAAGATGCATACTCCATGTTAATACAAAAATATCTGGGTTAGTATATTGTGGAAAGGATCTGTGATATGAATCTGAACAGTTGTGTTTTTTTCTAAATCTAAGGAGTTGTTAATACTATATTGACAGACGAAATATCATCAACAACAACAACAAAAAAAAAAACCAAACAAATGAGCCTTAATGAGTTATAGAGAAATGAGATGTTAAATCCTTGGCTGTTGCAAGCTGATTTGGTTTAGTAAAATGAGCAAAGCTACATCAGTTCCCCACAGTAGAAAATTAGGCCAAAAATATACTGCAAAAAAGAAAGATCACACCAAAAGATCACCGAAGCTGGCAGTCAGAATTCTACAATTAGAAATTATGGAGATGGGGAATAAATGACAAGGAAAAAGATCCCCAGAACAACGCAGTTCTGGATCAGACATATACCATGGGAAAAGGTCAGTGACCCTAATGTTCATAGGAAAAGTGATTTAAATGCTGGAATCTCATGCTTGGAGGTAAGTCCAACTGAGATTTCTTCACTTCTACTAGTATGAAATCTGGGCCCAAGAAAAACAGTATTAAGTTATCAAGAGTTTTTTAATGATTAAAAAATCTCATCCTTATGGTACTCCTTTGCATGTCAAAAATTGGAAAACAAAGGCAAAATTCAAAAGACATCTGTCTGTATTAAAAATAAACACCACTTTGGGAAAATAAAAGCATGTGCAGTGAAAAGACAAAAAGCTTCTGCAAGACACAAATGCATTGTGCTGCCTATATGAAACGAGAATTAAGTTCCCAGTTTCTGTATTTTCCTGCTCCTGCAAAAATCCAGCCGGTGTTTATTTAAGCAGCTGTAATTGACCATTCTCTGGAAATATTAAGCCACAGTTATATCACACTATTTCTGTTTCTGTGCAAAAGGTTCAGGGCTGTTATACGAGAAATGGAACACAACACTACCTTCGGGGATTTTAATAAATGTAGGGAACACTGCTAGCAAAAGAGTTGCTGTCCAAATAGACTGACATACACAGGCCAATGTAGCCTCTAATGACAGAGTAAGATAATGACAGGCCCCACTCAAAATCAGCAGGAAGAGGAAGATCAATCTTGGCAGAGTGAAGGAAAAATGCTGGCTTTCTTCATGTTAGCTCATCTCATACATATCTATCTTCAGCTGCTGCCCAGTACTGCGGTGCTCTGCATTAACTACACAGTGGATCAATAACAATTACACCTTCTCAGAAACATGACACATAGCAGGATTGGGTTGACATTTCACTTAGGCCAACATTGATCTCAATGCATCTGATTCCAGTCCTAAATTCAAGTCAGGCCTGGGTCTAGCTGGAATAAACACACAGTTAAAAACAAAAAAGGAAACCAGCTGCTTGTGCCTTGCCTTAGAAGTAAACAGCACATCCATCTGTGCGCTCCCCATCTCCCATCCACTATTCTTCCTGTTGCTACCAGGAACGTTAAAGTTGATCAAAGACTATTTTTTATATGAATTACTCACCGTGACATCAATGTTGATAATATCTCCATCCTGAAGAGGTCGACTGAAACAAAAACAGAAAGGAGAAAAATAATGGTGTTCTCTTTGTTGGGAACCGTCTGTCACAAGAATAAACACCTAATGACACATACATAAGAATCAGAGGGTAGAGATTTTGTAATGGAGGAAGGCAGAGGAAAACAGAATAACCATTTTTAATGTTCAGCTCTGACTACTTTGAGAACAAGTATGGCTGAATATAAAATAACGAGAAACAACTAGAGGGAAAATATATCAACATCTGAAAAATCCACTATTATGTTTATTCTTTTTCTCTCACTAGGGTTTGTATTTTACTTTGTAAGTAGCTGAATGTGTTGCAAATGATACTAAAAAAAAAAAAAAAAAAAAAATCAAACATATTTATTCCTTACACTATACTTATTTCACTGGAGAAAAAAAAATCAGAATTATTCTCTGTTTTTTTAAAATTATTATTTATTTTCCATGCACTAAACTCTAAAGGCATTATGCTGGTTTTTTTTCCCCAGTATCTGGACAAACAAGACAATATTATTGCTTCTCTACTTCAAATGCACTTCTATAGCATCTATGGGCATTGTATGGTAACATGATATGCATCTGTAATACATCTACATGTGACATATAGTTAAGCTGAAATATGTTCAATATTAAACACAGTTTATTAATTTCAGTTCAACGTTTTCATTCCTGGTGTTAAAATGTAAATTATTGGGGAAATACCTGTCAGGAATACCATGACATACCACGTTGTTTACAGAAGTACAAACAGATTTTGGAAAACCTCCATAGCCCAGAGGTGAAGGATAGGCATTCTGTCTGATTATTTCATGATGAACAACGGAATCTATTTCTTCAGTTGTCATGCCAACCTGAAATATCAAAAATAACATTCTGTTAAGAAAGCAAAGCTAGTTTCTCATATTTACCGAATGTGATTGCAGCCAAACGTTTCAGTGAAATCTTGGGTGTTTCAAATTCACTGCTTTGATACAACACATGAAGCTGTCTGATATGCTTAATTGACATATTGGACTTTTTTAAAGAGAACAATGTTTTAAACCAAGGATGCAGTAGAAACAAGCACTCAAAGGTTCTTAAAAAAAAACTAAAATATGCTCTACTTCCTGCCACTTTTTTTTTTTCCCCCCACATTTGCTCTCAGAGACACTGATTTTCCATGGCTCTTGTTTCAGTAGCTGCTATAGAAATGGTTTTCATTCTTCCAGTCATTTGAAACATACTACTTTCCTCTTTTATTTGTAGATAAAGGATATTAATGCCCAGTCCATATATCATTATGCACTTGCACATTTCATGAAATAGCTCTCTGAGTACTCCTTTGCGTTGTAAAAGATCTAAATATTTGAGTTCATATCTTGATATTTTACTTCAAGTTGCCATAGGTTGCATGACCACAGTGAATCTACACACACTTATCCATCATTTTTTGGAACATACACTTTTATGCTTGATGCTTTCTAGATTCACCTTCTTCTCATGGTTTTACATATTAAAAAAAACTCATAAATCATTCAGCCATTTTCTGAGAATCTGTGGGATGGAAAACAATCACGCTTAAAATACTGTTCTAGCTTTTCTTTGGGATCAAGTCTGTCTTGAAATGGTTAGAGCTGAAATTTGAGATTTGGTAGGGAAACCTCCCTCATTGGGAAAAAATGCCTTCGAGGGTTCCTGTGCAAATTGATTTTGATTTGAATGAGTTTTGAGCCTTTGAAAATCATACTTCATACACACACGTTACAGCAGCTATGGTTTCTGAGGGCATTTCACTAACACAGGGAACGCAGGTAGGCTGTGGTGCGTAGAAGGCATACATAACTGTATGCTGAAATATTCAGCAATCACATACAGAGAATACAATGGAGCACACTTGTGTCCTGTGCTGAGGATAAAGCTGGGTTTATTTGCTCAGCTTGCATCTTGCTCAGCATAGAAGCATGGCTGGGCAGATGAAGAGTGACAGCAACACCCAATATGCAATTTGGGGTTCCCGTGCAGCTGCCCTGCTCTGCAGCAGCTGTGATGGCTGCAGCTTCTGCATACCATCTGTGCCCAGCGTTGCAGCCAGCAGTTCTGGCTCCATGCAGGTTGCTCTGCCTTTGCTCACCCATATACCACCTGCTGCAAACAGGCAGATGGAAGCACAGTGCACCACACTGGGGGCTGCCCCTGCCCAAGGAATTCAGGGCAGCTTTTGGACCTCTGGTGGACAAGTTTGTGGCTGCCCGTGTGGGAGACATAGGTGCTGTGAAATGTTCTGCTTTTAGCATTACCTGGTTTACTTGCACCTATCGTGCACCACATCTCTTACAATTTGCTAGGCAATGTGACTGTATAAAAAAAAAAAAAACGAAACAACAACTATTACCATTTCATAGAAAGTGCTGTTCTATTCCAAAATCTCTTCCCCAAATCTAGGAAGTGCTATCATATATAACACCATGTGCTATTTTGAAGTCCAATGGGAAGTAAATGGCAACAGCAAAAACACATGCTCAGTCCATGGTGCCTCTGTATCCAAATGTTGTGACACCACTGTTGTCACACTAGGGACATTACTGCTGGCAGATCACAGTGTCAACACAAGCTTGCATGGAGGGCTGGGTGCAAGGCAGGCTCAGCAGGAGAGCAGAAACAGGTGGAGAGATAGGGCTCTTCAGATAAAACTGGAATTCAGAGTATCCTTTACAAGGCCAGCCTAAAAGAGCTTAGTTTGCTTTCTCCAGCACCCTGAAAGCTATAGGAATTCTAATCACTGCGTGAAGGAAACGGACTCAAGGAAACACTGGAAGCAGCTTAAATTAAAGAGCAGAGCTGGCATGAGAACAGGTGGGTACAAACTGGTTGCACAAAGATGCTCCCTGCTGATGAAGGGAGGCCCTGGGACATGCTTCCATTCAGAGCAGCCTTGAAGAAACACATGTAGCACAAAGTGGAGCTGGCCTGGGCAGGATCCCTGCTCTGTGTGCCACTTCCCTCCCTCCCAGCCTATGCCAGCTCCTCATCATCATTCCTTTCAAACACTCTCCTTCTCTCCTAGGATTGTTATGCGTACGTACAAGCTTCTTGCTATGATGTACTGTTTGCAGTATCAACTTTGTCCTAAACTATATTGTGCTCCGTATAAGTGCATTTTATGCGCAATAAAAAACATGTATGATAACACAGTATTACTGAAAATCTACTCTCGTTCATAATCCCCATGTTGCACTCTTGAGGTAGAGTCCTGATTCTTCAGATACACGTATGTCCCTATACAGAAGCAAGTTTTACTGTACAAGGAAATAATTGCACGTAAAATGTTAAACCTGCATATTCGTAAAACTAAAGCCTCAGGCATTTTGTTACTGGCCACCCCAGCTCCAGAACTAAATCTCTGCGACAGTGCGATGAGAATAGAAAGAAAAATGCATGGTAAACTGATATGTTTTTCCCTTTTTAAGTAAATGACATTGACTTACAGTCTCCATCTATCTCTGCATCTCATAGCTACTCAGCCCATTTTACCCTATTCAGTATGCTATTAAATGAAATATCAAGGTAACATGAAAAAAATCACTCCATCTGCAAAAACTTGTAGTAGGCTCCTCCCAGCATATTTATTCTTGAGAGGTATCCCAAAAAGCATACTGTAGAAACATTACTGGAAACCCTGAGGCTTTATTACCAATGCACTCTGGAAAATAGTGTGGAGCTTGGCAGCTGTTTTTTTCCAACAGCAGTTCAAAGACTTGTGCTATGCCAACCCTGTGGGACAGCAGGAGCTGAAGGACGAAGGGGAAGAGAGGTAGCAGCCTGGCCCCTTGGCCTTGCACACATGCAGAGTCAAAAAGCAGAATATATGAGGAAGATTGGCCATAACATTACAGGAAAAAAAAAAAAAAAGTATCATGGGCCTTCTGAGAAGCTCATTTGATTTGGCATAATCCAAATAGAGGGAAGATGACGGAGACTGCACCCGAGCCAGCAGCTCAGACTGCACAGATTTAAAATACAGAAATAGTTTAGTAGGTATATCAGGAAATGAATCAGAAGTTAACAAGTCCTTTTTTAATGTCTATGTTACAGTTGGATGCACAATAAGGATAGCAAAAGAAAAAAGGAAAAAAACTAAGTGAAAGCATGAAAGACTTTCAAGCTGTTTGGGGACTTACGTAATCATTACCTTTAAGCTCCTTCCAGCCAGAAGCAGGACATGACGGGCCAATTGACAAGCCTGACGAAGGCCTTGAATCTGATCTTCATTCTTAATTTCTATGTCGTCTCCCCAGTCTGGTACAATGCCTGTCGTCACATAGTCTGGCTTCTTTATGTGCTTGGAGAAAAAGGATTGAAAATGAAGATCAGAAAACTGAGCATGACAATGGGATCATTTTCTCAGATACTGCCTCCTGCTTCATGGCAGCTTGCCCTTTCTGTCGTAGTATCGACCTTCCTAAGCCATCAGGGCAAACCCTCAAGGGTGCCTCAGTATTGCTTCCACTGCCCTTTTGAACTTAACATTGCCTGGTACTACTGACTTGTGCAGTCTGTTAACCTCCCTGTGCTGAAATCCTGAGGAGTGCAGTACACTTTTAGCACAGTCTCAAGTTTTAAAACTGTGAGAGAAAGACTTAGAACCTTTTTATTTTCTTCTGCTGAGTGGCACATCATATAGGAAAAGCATCTGAACAATACAATGACCTGAACAATGCGATTAGGTCCTTAGTCTCTTGCTCACACAAAACTTGTGCTAATTTTCATGAGACAGTTTTTTTTTTATTTTTTTTTTTTTGAACTAAGAACTCTAGGATTTAATTTATTTTAATTTAGAGTTTTCACTTGTTAATCTAGTTCTCAAATTACATGCAAACTTGTCCGTCTACAATACTATGTAAGGATTTCCCAATTTCTGTGTTGCAGAAATTGTAATAAACTTTTTCTGTTCTCACAGAAAGCTCTCAGTAGTCACATGGATGTTAAATTTAACTTCCGATTTATTTTTTTTTAATCTACAGTAATTTCACAGCAAAATAACATCGCACAGTGAGAAAAATGCACTTGGTTTCCACAGGTGCTGGTGACCTCACCAGTGGGGTAGCAAAGCATCTTCACCCACCAGAGTAGGGCTCTGCATCAGTTCACAAAACAGAATCAAGCTGGCAGGGCAGGAGGCAAAGCGGCCACTTCAGCTGTGTACAAGACCACACAACATCCCAGTGTGGGGGTAAAGAAGAGTGGTGTAACCTATTAACTCCTGCAGGACTTCAAATAAGGCCATTGTTGTTCTTACTGGTATTTCATCACTTCTACTCTGTCTGAGTGTAACTGTACCTTTACCGAATTCACATCAACAGAATTTCAAATGTGAATTTCATTTAAGAGAAACAGCATATCAGCCTGTACAGCACCCTGTTGAAATATATACCACGAGACTTCATTTAGAAGGAAAAATTACATTTGCTGGATTACCCACTGCATACACTACAGCACCTCCACCATCTCCTTGGAAGGCACTGATTTTCTAACTATTGAGACCTGAACCTGTTGACCTGTGAAATCTGTTAAGGGAAAAATCCAAAGCAGCATCTACATCTACAATTTCACACCAAAATACATCATCTCAATCTGGTTTCTGGCATACTCTGTAGCAAGTGATAACTATATCCTCAAGTTCTCAGAGTTGAAAAATTTAGACTAATTTCAGACAGTGTAAGCACAGTGATCTGTGAAGAATACTTTTTAGTATGACAATATATTTCTTCCTCTTTATCCTAAAAGAAGTGATACAGTTCTTCAACCTTTGAAAACTTATAAAGCACAAAACCACATGCTTTCCCTGCAGACAGAGCTTCCATAACTCCTTAGGAGTCAGAGCCCTACATTCAGCACTCCCATCTGCTTTTGTAAATAACTTTTTTTTTTTTTTTTTTTTGGATTTTTGGCCCATGGAAATATTTTGCACTTTGCACAAGAAATCTATAATCATGCGGAAAGTACTAATGCTCATCCAGAAAAGCACTGCTTAGGAAGGGCAATTTTTTGGCTGAATGAAAGATGCTTTGAATGAAAGATACAGTTGAACTGTGTGCTGTAATTAAAAAAAAAAAAAAAAAAAAAAAGGAAACCAGAAGTGGAACATATGTTAACATTACATGAGAAAACCTCCTTTGGCCCCAAAATAAATAAAGAGAAAATTACGTGTTGGAAGAAAGAGACAGTTAAGATTAGTTTGGAAGAACAGTGGGGCTGTAGGGCAGCTACTAGCAGGTAACGTGTGCTCTCATCCTGAATGTGACTCAGCAATTAACAAAACGTTCAGGTAGATATAAACATTTTTATAATTAGCTTGCTAGAGATGTATACAGAAAAGGACTTAGATGTTCACGAATGATTCCTAATGATTTCTAGTAGGTCTATAGTCGTCCAAAAGGAGAACCTGGACTAGAAGCATTAAGTGCTGACAGATGATTATAACATTCCATGTTTATATGAATGTAACTTAACGAGCCTCAGGTTTAAACTCTCTGATAACCAGATACATCACTGTTTAATGTGGTGGGGAGCTGAAAACTTCTCTCACTAGCACTGTTATTTCAAATGCCAGACCGCATCATAGGACTGTATCCAAACCATTGAATGCACTTGATCAGCTGTGCAGTCAACTCCTACACTGACTGAAAAACAGATTAGATAATAACAATTGCAGTACCTCGGGAACTGGATGAGCTGGAGAAACCACTGCTGGCCAAACTACGCTATAAACAGCATTTCTTTGTCCCTGAGAAAAGAAGCATCTCTGTTGTTGATTACTTGATTGCCTGTGCAGGTAGACACGATTGCATGAAGAAAAAATTCTGAGGCAGCCAGTCACAGAACCTGGTAACATAAATTTGAAATGGTTAACTTTTCTTCTACTACCATGTTACAATTGTAAAATATGAAAAGAGAAAGGCACCATGTAAAATCAATTGCAGAACTTGTGCAGTAGCCAAGAAATTAAGATCTTGTACCATTGCAGTATTAACACCAAGAAACTGAGAACAACAACAACAAAAAAAATCACAAAGCATTACATCAAAGCTTTATAAAATATTATATCTGTCTTGGTTTAATGCATTAAAACGTAGCACGGGGAAATTCCCCAAACCTCAGCAGGACTGATGCCCAATCTGTTTGTAGCAGCTTGCATGGCTAGAAGCTGCACTGCACAAGGTTTGGGAAAAGGGTAAACTGCTAGAAATTAGGAGAGAAAAAACAAATTCCATGTTGATTTCCTACATTTTCATCCAAAAATTCTCAATGAATTCATCACACATTTGAGCTCTCATCATTTGCATCAAGATTCAAAATTCAGGTTCAGTCTGTAGCCATCTCCTGCCTTAGCAGGAAGAGAACAAACAACACGAGTGATTTTTAGTCTTGGTCAAGGGCAATTGAGGCCACTGAAGTCTGTAATTGCCTTGGAGTATTTGAATCAGATTTCCCCTAATTTACATGGGAAGTTGGGAGGGCAGTTCCTGAGTAATCATTGCCCTCACTTTCTGGGCAATGATGCATTTTGCCAAGAAAAATGGGCATAGAAGCCCAACTGTTGTCAGAAAGACAACAGAAACACAGTAAAACATTACAAAAGATGACACTAGCATCAAGACAGCAAAGTACACTACATTTGAGATGATTATTTACACTGTCAAATTAAACACTATAAAATATTGTGTTTATTTCCTTTGCTAAAAAAGTCTATAATCTAAACTGCAGTTTCTTTATTTTTTGAATAAGGAATAAGGTTCACGTAATAGTTAAATTGCCTTTGAAAGAAGTCATGTGTATAAATACAAGAGCAACCTTCTGTGGCAAGTAACCGGTATGAATAATTAATACTCAGTAAAAAGAAAGTGGTTTTGTTTAAGAAGAGGTTACCTAGACATCTTTACATCACAGAAATAAAGAAATTTGTCTGCTGCGTATTTTTAACTATGTAAAAATTATTTTCTTTTTAGGAGTTTTTCTGTATTTTGTCTATTTTTATTTACTGTATATTCCTTCCTACACTTATCTTGTCCAGATGTCACAGCATCTCTTCCCATGCACGCTTGGCTTTACAGAGAACCCTTTTACATCACCCCACAATACACAGAAGAGTCTAACTACAAACTTCCTGGGCCCCCCAAAAATGAACGCGATTGCTGAACAAGGTTTGCTTTAGACTCATTCCTGAGTGTCTCTGTACACTGGGCAGTGCTAAGCTTAGTTAACAATATCTGAATTTGTGTAACACCTGAAAAGCTGTAGAGAATTTTACTCAATGCAAGATTTTCGCTGTTTTAAACTGTTCCTAAGTAATGAGGCAGAGTTGGAGGGTGAGGCTCAGATCCCACTGCCAGCCTAACCTGGGTACCAGTGACAGTCCCCTGCTTCTGGTGGGAAGAGAGTGCCTCTGTGGAAGTGGAGCTGCCCCATTATTCCACTATGTGGAAGTGGCTTGGGCTGGCGTTCTGTGAGTTATCATCTCATCACTAGTTTCATCTCTTACTACTTCCCTAGCATATCCTTCACAAGGAAAAAATCTTGCCAAATGAGAAACAAAACCCTGCAGAGTGCAGAAGCTCATCCAAAGAGCCTAAAGCATCCTACAACTTGAACAGTTTGCACACATTTTCAGAAACTGGAAACACAGAATCTGCAGAGGCAGCAACTTTTGGGTCTTCAGAAGCAGCACCTTACAAAGCACAGTAGGAGGACCTTGCTCTCACCACAGCTGATGGCACTGCCCCACAGCTCTGCACCCATGTGCTAAAGGCACTGAAACCACACAATGCCACGAGCAGCTGAAGTCCACATGGTCACCAATAACCTAGGTCATATTTTCAGTGCTGCCATTTCAATGGTGCACCGCTGGGCATCTGTCCAGCTGGGCACATTGCTCACCGGCAAAATAAAGATGTAAGTCTCTGCCAGTTATTTGTCAGCAGAGCTCCGAACGTCCCAAATCAATGCATCAAACCAATTCAGATCAGTGGGTTCATGCCTCATTAGCCATCCCACGTTCAGAAGGGATACCTTCTTATCGGGAATAAATTTTTTCCTTCTGTTCCCCCAAAGCCACACTGTGAGTCTTGTCACAAGTAACAGGATAATGAGGTACTGCGGTCTGTTGTTATCCCACTAACTGCTCATTATAAACCAGACGTGCACAAAAATGCCCACCGCTCAAACAGGTGAAATGCGACGACCAAATAAATATCACCACAGTATGATCTGTCTCCCAAAGCACATCACAAGAGTTACAAACACACAATAACTAAACCTTTGTTTGGAACAATACAAAATTATAAGAGAAAACATTCTCCTTCGAAGTAAAAATAAAATGGCATTAAAGTATAACGACGTTACTGTTTCATAATGAAAATCTGGACTCCGTCCACTTCCTTCCATAAGAAGGCCTTCCTCATGTCTCCACAGCTCCTTTTATTTTCAAGCTCCCATATTCACAGCTAATTTGATATAGCAACACCATCAATCACTGAGACAGCGCAACTGGCCGTATGCGCCGCATCGCCTCAATCGCTGTGCTGCTGCCGGCCCCCCCACCCTGAGCAGCTCCTGGCAGCCTCTGATGGACTTCTCCTGAACTGATGCCTGAGCACATCCTTTTTGTGAAGCATTCTGCGTGCATTAATTGCTGTGAGATGGTTCATAAAGGCAGGATTTAGGCGGCTTCCAGCAGAACTGCAGGCATCAGAGAGCCGGGCAGCCTGGAACACAACAGCACCGGGCGGGATGCTGCCATCTCTGCCTGCCTTTTCTCCTCCAGCAGCAAGGTTGCATCACTTGCCACAAGCAATAGAATATATTTACTATCAACTGCAATAATGAGAATTATTATTGGTGTTCCTGAAATCAGATCAGCAGAGACGATGCTCTGTGCACAGAAAATTACAGACAACTGCTCCCCCGACTCTGTGGTGAATCCCACTGTGCAGGCTGTGTGTGTGCCTGCTGCTGGATTCCTCTGCACACCTCAGACTTTAATTTGTATTAATCATATAAATACGTGCTGCGAGCTTTCGTGAATTACCAGATGGATTTCTCTTTTGTGGAAATCATATTTTCCTTTGTTTTTAAATGAGTCAGCCAAAGGGGCTGAATACAGAATTCAAGTGTGATGATGGGTGGGAGCATTTGAAGTGACTGATTTTGCAGCACAAATGTGCCCTATATTTATTAGCCTTTTACTCTAGGTCTATTTTAATTGTTATCTGCTACGCTGTATAATGAAATGCTCCCATTTCACCCTCAGAGCAGAGAGTTTTTTATGTGTATCTCTATTAATGACCCTTAATTAAGTTGATTTTAGTCATTTAAATGTGATTTTCCTCTGGTCAAGAAGTATTTTTAAAGGGAGATGCTGGAAATGAACTCACAGTTAAGCACTTCGCTAATGCTTTTTCAACTGTTACAGCAACCCATCTGCAGCATTTTCAACAAGGTGCAGAGTGGCCATGCAAAAAACTGTTCATCCACGAGTCATCAAATGTGGCTGTTAGCAAACAATTTTTTGGTATTTATGAAAGACTTCAGGTTTCCCGACCATTAGCAAAAACGTTACCAAAGGCTGAACTTCATGACAGTTCTGTGCTACAACAAACACAAGAGCACACTGGGAAAGGGAAACAAACTGAAATTAGACCATATTAAGTATTTTCCATCATAAAGGCCCTCCTAATAGCTACAAGAGCACAGCAGTGAAATCATTTAGATTTACAAGAATTCATGCCAAACTGATTTAGGAAATAAAAGCAGTTTGCTCTTGATAAAGCAAATTTTGCCTAGAATATATGAACATTGCAAACATCAGGCAATTTTTTAAATTTTTAAATACATGATTTCATCTACTTTATCATTAAAAAAAAAAACCCCTGAACTATAATAACCATGCAGATTTTCTGAGTATACTGATATTTGAGGATAAAATACTAGAGATTTTTAATCTGGCTTGTCAGTACATCTTCCTATTATGTCAATCATACCGCTTTGCTTCTTGTGCAAGTTTCCCTTTTTTTTGAATCTTTAAAGTTTGAAGCAAAGTGTTAGAAAATGTGATAGCTGAATCATCTGGAATCCAACCAATGCAACTAGATAAGATTTGATATAGCTTTTTATATTAATGCTCAAGTTTTAAAATCTGAACTAATGGTTGTGTCTCGATAGACCTTTACTTGTAGTTGTAATTAATAAAACACTGACTTTGTAATTCCAGTGTTGCAGAGGTACATGCAAGCTTCAAAAATAGACTGGGAAAGATTTAAGGTTCTCTCCAATTCTGTGTAACCTGTGTAACAGAAGAGCTGCTCACTTTCCACAAGCAATAACCTGTGCATTTGCTAACAAAAAAAAAAAAAAAAAAAAAAGTAAAAGAAAGAAAGAAGAAAAAAAGAACAACATAGGGAAATGCCTCAGGCACAAGTTGAAACTGATTGGGCAAAGCAGAAGGACAAGAGCCCTTGAAATTAAACAAAAGCAAATTCATTCTGTTGACAGATGTTGATTACATCAAAGCCAAAAAATAACTTTTTTCTTTTTTTTTTTTTCTTTTTCGCAAGTAATACCTCTCAGCATTAAGGATATAACATATCTTAATCAACACAATCCAACACGTAACAACTGTTAAATTTGGTAAAAGTATATCGTAATGAGGTCTTAAAGACAGGCTTCTCTAAACAAGAGTGTATTCACATGGTCATGTCTGCACACCCGTGCTGGTCACGCCACCATCAGCCCCTTACTTCCAGGGGTTAACTGCTCTGGCAGCCAAATAAAATACAGAGAGAGCTGTGTAATTATGGAGACAGTCAAAGGGCAGACTCTATTTTGAA